TGGCAGTTTCGGGCCTACCAGGATGCGTCGAATCAGTTGTTGGATGCAGGTGAAGTGGCTGGTAGTGAACTTGTGGCTACCGGGGCAGACAGGGCAGAGACAGCCGTCGGTGCGGTAGTCAAGCAATGTGAACATGTACGTAATCGCTACAATCATAGCACAGAGCCGGATTGGTGTAGACTCGAAGCAGCGATTGAAGCTGTCGTGTCTGGCTGTGTCTCGGTTTCAGGTTGGCGGTTTACCCATAACCAGTTGGTAGTAGTATTGCCGCGATCTCCTTGTTGGACCAACGTTTTGTTGAGTTCTTTCTGATATCGTCACAGCGTTGGCGGAGGGCTACATGGTCGGGTGTACGCCCGCCCGTGGGTTTGTGTACAGTTTTCAAGTGAGCATAGATACTGTACGGGAAGCGCAGTGATGGTTTATCGTGGGCCCAGGCGAGTTGCGTCAGAGGGGTAAGTGGATTTGCTAAAATCTAAAACCCAGGTATAGGGATAATATTATTCAGGTATAGTGGTCGCAGTCTTAACAAATCTCAATCTTTTGCTTCTTTTTTTAATTTAAAAAAAAACAAATGCACGCAAAAATGTAAGAAGGCAGAGTGTGCAATCTTAGATCGACTCAAAACACAATGTAACGGTGAACCTAGTTTTTTTCCTCGATTGTTGAATAAACGTCTACCTTAGCAGAATGAACTTCATCAATGAACTAAACCACGTATTTATACTATCTCCGAAAGATTTCCTTGAGAATCCTGTCGCTAATCAAATCGTGTATCTTCTCAATTTCGAGCCTACAAGTCCATTCAACATATATCGTCATCTATCAGCCTCCAGCTCATATTACCCCGCACTTCGGTTCGCAAAGCACCAATCATACATCAACCCCCTCTTCTTTCGAGCTTGCGCGGCCGTTCGCCAACAAACCGCACAATACAACTTAGAACTTTTAAAACATATTAGTTTTCACACTTATAAGTTATCGCCCACACTTATAAGTTCTCGCACTCTTATTAACGCCCAGGAACATTACCGAACAGTTCGATACTTACAACACCAACATTGTTTTAAATCGGAGGTAAACATGGTTGACATTACAAGTGAGCACTGAGCATGGAGCAGACAGCGTTCGTCAAAATACACGAAAATGTAGCAGGTGAAACATCAAACATAACTTTGAGCATTTTTTTAGAAGGGTAAAGAAGACTACTATCTGTAAATGTACATCACGTACATAACAAGTACATATAGTGAATATATACTCTCGTACGATTTCTCGTAACCTTCTATAATATCTTTTGAAGGCTATGGCTTTCTACTTTATTCAGTATATAGCACATATGCCATAGGGGACTTTTAGTCTTCCAAAATAAACAACAATGCTCAGCTTCCAACTGTACGAATATCCCATAGGTGAAGGTTTTGCTCTATTCGCGGCCAGCAGCCTAATTGCAAAGTCAACTATTATTCAAACGTGAATTTACTGACCACTTCTTCCCATCAATCTTTCCTGAACCACTACAACGACTATGAGAGCCATGCCATATGTTCATACATTGTATCATACATACTTGCCATTTTTGAAATAAATTAATATTATCCCTATATAGTCTGGGTATGTACTGATATACTGCAGTGTCAGTGACTGCATCAGTGGATTCAATGACAGTCATCACTCAAAACAATCAGTGCAGTTCAAGTCTTTGTACAGCACTCAGCACTGAGTCAGCAGTCAGCACTCAGCACTGAGTCAGCACTTAGCACTCAGCACTGAGTACTGAGTACTGACTACTAAGTGCTAAATAAATATCTGCACTCACAGTCAGGATGTATTATACTATGTAGTCCAACACGTCACTATTTTGGTTTAAAAAAAATCAAAAATCAAATATGAAATAAGTATAACCCCACGGCCCACTTGTTCAGTTTATACGTTAAACGCGGAACGGTTTGAGATTAGTTTTCAAGAGTATGTAGAAGTTTAGGAGAGGTCCGACATTCCTGAGCCAACGTCGCGTTCTAATTCGTGCAATAGTCTGTAGGAGCTACTCGGAGTTGGAGGGACATATCCTTATTATATATTTCTTACTGAGTTTCTATGGATTGTCAGGATGACTATATATGGTGATTCCCCTGCTTGGTGGAGTGCCAGACATATATGACTATATGTATGATGTATTGTATAAATATGTACATATATTTATATATACTATTTGTTTTAAAAACCAGTACACTCTCCGAGTGACAGACCGAGTCTCCGACTCTCGTGAGTCATGAATTTCTGAATTCCATGCTCTCTATCATCTACTAAGTGTGTCTGCTAATTCAGAAATTATCTATTCACTACTTTTGCTCTATGTGAAAATTTATTTTCATAATAATATGTTGTGTAGTTTTGTTGATGAAAATGGGACTGAGTAACTTATTTGTATGATATATATACCTATAGTATACGTACACAGTTCAGATCCTTGAAACTGGTAAAGTAGAAGCTCGTATGTGTACGAACGGATACCCTACATCAATAATTCAATATGAAAGTCGAGGAAACTAAGGCCTTTGTGGAGGAACGGTTCCAGAAGCAATTTGTCGACGTTCTTTCAGGTATGTGCCGGGCCTTTCCTGTATTGTCAATCTGGATACATAGGTATCTTGCTATACTGAAGCCTAAACATAGTGGCATAGTGTGCTTATCCCGGATTCGTGATATGGGAACATGTTATAAATCCACGGCAGATGGCCATAGACACATCAGACACCCTAGCCATGCGATACCACTTCAAGTAGTTGTCGTATGCCAGTACTCTGAAACTGGGTTGTTTATTTTGTAAGTTTGCGAAGGTTATGATTGTTTTGCGAGTAACTTTGTATTGTACATCTCAGAAACTTCATTCTTATACCGATTGAGGATCATATCGTCTGTATCGCATTAATATGCACGGTAAGGTAAAAAACACAGTCGCTGATGGCAAGCGCATGTGTGTGCACACATCCTTTTATATTTGCTTTTTAGTACCAACTATAACCACCAAGCTTCGTTATCATCTGCTATACACCTTGTTCAAATACCAACTACTGAACATTGAAGTTTGACATCCATCCCCAGACTTCATCAAGATCCCCAACTGTACGCCCGCATTCGACTCGGAGTATCTCACAAACGGCAACATCCAGAAAGCCGTCAAGTTCATAGTCGACTTTGCTAAAGGATTGAATATCCCTGGTCTCGAGTTTAAGGTGCACGATGACGGAGAACGCCCCCCAATGGTGTTAATGGTGTACCCAGGCGAAGCTAACCACAATGTCATGATCTACGGACACTTGGATAAGCAACCGTTTATGGAGGTGGGTGTGCATGGAATGTGGTTGGGATATTGAGCAGTTGTAGTGGTATTGCCATATATAAATACAGGGTGGTTCGGTGGATTGTTGATACCGTGAGTGGAGAGGCGACATACGAATAAGCATGTTTGAGAGGGAGGGGGTTAGCCTTTCATGTTGTTGTCTTGATGTCCCAAGGATACTTTTATAGTGGTATGCCTTATTTGTGTCTGGATGTATGGGTAATTCCATGTACAGACACACACACACACACACGTACACACACACACATA